CGTCTTGTGTGCTGGTCATGATCATACAACTACTTTTCAGCAACAAAGCAAGTGGTTCAAATTTCACCACGGTATGGAGGATGTGTACATTTACTATAGTTTATACGCGGTCCCAAATATTAAAACTTTAGCAGACTTTAACTCTACTCATTAAATAGTACATTTGTCCCTCTAGTTGTAAAATAAATTAATTAGATCTCTTTAAAAAAATAATATTTTTTAATGTTTCTAATCAATGTTACCAAACTTAATGTAATATTACTTTATTTTAAGAGTATCTTCTTTTTCCGGTAATCTTTTCATAATATCTATTTTTTTAAACAAACAATAAATTAGTTAAGAAAAAACCATAAAAGAGATGAGAATGATTAAATAATTACTTTTTTAAAGAGAAACTAATTACCGAATTTTTAACCCGAATTGGCATGTACCCAAGAAAACTCGAATTGGAACCAGCAGCAACTTGCGTAGTCGACTTGAAACTCTCCTCTCGTGCGATAATCCAGGAGAATGGTCGTTATCATAATTACGCATAACTTATGGATTGTTTTGGCAGGGACGATAAGGTTACCCCTGAAACAGCTTGAAAAAATGAATTTAAATAGACTTGAAAAATCAACGTACATTATTTTACATAAATTTCATTATTTAAAAAAAATTAATTATGAAAAAAAATATTATATTTTTTAAAATTATTTTTATAAACTATAATCTTAAAAATTACCACAATATTAAATACATATACATATTTAATTAACACTTGAGGAAGATTAAAAGTATTTATGTTGCTTTACATATTTTTATAAAAATATATTAAAACTTGTTTTTTTATTTCTTAACGAACTTGATATCAACATGATCATTTAAAAACATTTAAAAGTACATCAGATTAATACTTTTATAACTTAAACATGCCATGTGTAAATATATTATCAAATACCTCTCATAAAAAGAAATATTATCTAAAACCGTCTAATCGAGAGAATTGAAGGTATATCAAGGGAGGGACTAGCTCGTCCAGGGAGCACATGGGTTCCCCTCTTTTCCTTTCTTTCGCG